GCGTTCCCGGAGGATTGTCCACCATGTGGTGGGATTTGGGATCTCCTGAAGGAACCTCCTGGTGGGATTTGGGATCTTCTGGAAGGAACCTCCTGGTGGGATTTGGGATCTCCTGGAAGAACCGTCGTGGTGGGATTTGGGATCTCCTGGAAGGATCCTCGTGGTGGGATTTGGGATCTCCTGAAGGATCCTCGTGGTGGGATTTGGGATCTCCTGGAAGGATCCTCGTGGTGGGATTTGGGATCTCCTGAAGGACCCTCCTGGTGGGATTTGGGATCTCCTGGAAGGAGCCTCGTGGTGGGATTTGGGATCTCCTGGAAGGATCCTCCTGGTGGGATTTGGGGTCTCCTGGAAGGAACCTCGTGGTGGGATTTGGGATCTCCTGGAACGAACCTCCTGGTGGGATTTGGGATCTCCTGGAAGGAGCCTCGTGGTGGGATTTGGGATCTCCTGAAGGAACCTCCTGGTGGGATTTGGGATCTCCTGGAAGGAAGCTCGTGGTGGGATTTGGGATCTCCTGAAGGATCCTCGTGGTGGGATTTGGGATCTCCTGGAAGGAACCTCATGGTGGGATTTGGGATCTCCTGGAAGGAGCCTCATGGTGGGATTTGGGATCTCCTGATGGAACCTCCTGGTGGGATTTGGGATCTCCTGAAGGAACCTCCTGGTGGGATTTGGGATCTCCTGAAGGATCCTCGTGGTGGGATTTGGGATCTCCTGAAGGAACCTCCTGGTGGGATTTGGGATCTCCTGGAAGAACCGTCGTGGTGGGATTTGGGATCTCCTGGAAGGATCCTCATGGTGGGATTTGGGATCTCCTGGAAGGAACCTCCTGGTGGGATTTGGGATCTCCTGGAAGGAACCTCCTGGTGGGATTTGGGGTCTCCTGGAAGGAGCCTCGTGGTGGGATTTGGGATCTCCTGGAAGGAACCTCCTGGTGGGATTTGGGATCTCCTGGAAGGAACGTCCTGGTGGGATTTGGGATCTCCTGGAAGGAGCCTCGTGGTGGGTTTTGGGATCTCCTGGAAGGATCCTCGTGGTGGGATTTGGGATCTCCTGGAAGGAACCTCCTGGTGGGATTTGGGATCTCCTGGAAGGAGCCTCCTGGTGGGATTTGGGATCTCCTGGAAGGAACCTCGTGGTGGGATTTGGGATCTCCTGAAGGATCCTCGTGGTGGGATTTGGGATCTCCTGGAAGGATCCTCGTGGTGGGATTTGGGATCTCCTGGAAGGATCCTCGTGGTGGGATTTGGGATCTCCTGGAAGGAACCTGTGGTGGGATTTGGGATCTCCTGGAAGGAGCCTCATGGTGGGATTTGGGATCTCCTGGAAGGATCCTCCTGGTGGGATTTGGGATCTCCTGAAGAACTGTCCTGGTGGGATTTGGGATCTCCTGGAAGGAGCCTCATGGTGGGATTTGGGATCTCCTGGAAGGAGCCTCATGGTGGGATTTGGGATCTCCTGGAAGGAACGTCGTGGTGGGATTTGGGATCTCCTGGAAGGAGCCTCGTGGTGGGATTTGGGATCTCCTGGAAGGAGCCTCGTGGTGGGATTTGGGATCTCCTGGAAGGAGCCTCGTGGTGGGATTTGGGATCTCCTGAAGGAACCTCCGGGTGGGATTTGGGATCTCCTGAAGGAGTCTCGTGGTGGGATTTGGGATCTCCTGGAAGGAGCCTCATGGTGGGATTTGGGATCTCCTGAAGGAACCTCGTGGTGGGATTTGGGATCTCCTGAAGGATCCTCGTGGTGGGATTTGGGATCTCCTGGAAGGAACCTCCTGGTGGGATTTGGGATCTCCTGAAGGAACCTCCTGGTGGGATTTGGGATCTCCTGGAAGGAGCCTCGTGGTGGGATTTGGGATCTCCTGGAAGGCGCCTCGTGGTGGGATTTGGGATCTCCTGGAAGGAGCCTCATGGTGGGATTTGGGATCTCCTGGAAGGAGCCTCATGGTTGGGATTTGGGATCTCCTGGAAGGAACGTCATGGTGGGAGTTTCCATGTCCAGCTTGGCCTGGAAAGGGATGGGACCCAACCATGGTGGGTTTGGTGGCACCAAAAATGGAGTTTCCATGTTCATGTCCAGCTTGGAAGTGGATGAGATCCCACCTCCATCCACCATCTTGTCCCACCTCCATCTTGTCCCACCTCCATCCACCATCTTGTCCCACCTCCTTCCACCATCTTGGTGGCCACCTTGGTGTCACCTTTGGGTCATCTTTGTGTCACTTTGGGGTCACTTTGGTGTCACCTTTTGGTCACTTTGGGGTCACCTTTGGTGTCACCTTTGGGTCACTTTTGGGGTCACCTTTGTGTCACTTTGGTGTCATCTTTGGGCCACTTTGGTGTCACCTTTGGGGTCACCTTTGTGTCACTTTGGTGTCATCTTTGGGTCACTTTGGTGTCACCTTTGGGTCACCTTTGTGTCACTTTGGTGTCACTTTGGTGTCACTTCGGGGTCACCTTTGGTGTCACCTTTGTGTCACTTTTGGGGTCACCTTTGGGTCACTTTGGGGTCACCCTTGGGTCATCTCTGGGGTCACTTTGGTGCCACATTTTGTCCCCTTGGGATCACTTTGGGGTCACCCTTGGGTCACTTTGGTGTCACCTTTGGGGTCACTTTGGTGTCACCTTTGGTGTCACCTTTGGGTCACTTTGTGTCCCCTTGGGGTCCCCTTTGTTCCACCTTTGGGATCACTTTGGGGTCACCTTTGTGTCACCTTTGGGTCACTTTGGGGTTAATTTGGGGTCACCTTTTGGTCACTTTGGTGTCACTTTTTGGGTCACTTTGGGGTCACCTACTTCCACCATCTTCTCCCACCTCCGTCTTGTCCCACCTCCTTCTACCACCTTGTCCATTGACCATTGGGTTGACCGTTGGGTCGTCCATTGGGTCGACCATTGGGTTGACCATTGGGTGGACCTTTGACCTTTGGGTTGTCCATTTGGTTTTCCATTGGGTTGCCCATTGGGTTGTCCATCGGGTTGTCCATTGGGTTGCCCATTGGGTTGTCCATTGGGTTGACCATTGGATCAACCATCGAGTTGTCCATTGGGTTGTCCATTGAGTTGACCATTGAATTGACCATTGGGTTGACCATTGGGTCGACCACCGATTTGTCCATTGAGTTGACCGTTGGGTTGTCCATTGAGTTGTCCATTGGGTTGTCCATTGGGTTGACCATCGATTTGCCCATCAGGTTGACCATTGAGTTGACTGTTGGGTTGTCCATTGAGTTGTCCATTGAGTTGTCCATTGGGTTGTCCATTTGGTTGACCATTGGGTTCTCCATTGGGTTGACCATCAATTTGTCCATTGGGTTGACCATTGGGTTGACCATTGTTTCGACCATCGGGTTGACCATTGGGTTGACCATTGGGTTGTCCATTGGGTTGACCATTGAGTTGACCATTGGGTCAACCATCGAGTTGACCATTGGGTTGTCCATTGGGTTGACCATTGGGTTGACCATTGAGTTGTCCATTGTGTTGACCATTGGGGTGTCCATTGGGTCAACCATTGTTTTGTCCATTTGGTTGTCCATTGGGTCGACCATTGGGTTGTCCAGTGAGTTGTCCATTGGGTTGACCATCGGGTCGACCATTGGTTTGTCCATTGTGTCGCCCATTGCGTTGTCCATTGGGTTGTCCATTGCGTTGTCCATTGGATTGTCCATTGGGTTGTCCATCGGGTTGTCCATTGGGTTGACCGTTGGGTTGTCCATCGGGTTGTCCATTGGGTTGACCATTGGGTTGACCATTGGGTTGTCCGTTGGGTTTTCCATTGGATCGACCATCGAGTAGTCCATTGGGTTGACCACTGTGATGTCCATTGGGTTGTCCATTGAGTTGACCATCGATTTGTCCATTGAGTCGTCCATTGGGTTGTCCATCGGATTGTCCATTGGGCTGTCCATTGGGTTGTCCATTGAGTTGACCATTGGGTTGTCCATTGCGTTGACCATTGGGTCAACCATCGATTTGTCCATTGAGTTGTCCATTGAGTTGACCATTGTGTTGTCCATTGGGTCGACCATTGGGTTGTCCATTGGGTTTTCCATTGGATCAACCATCGAGTTGTCCATTGAGTTGACCATTGGGTTGTCCATTGGGTTGTCCATTGGGTTGACCATTGGGTTGACCATTGGGTTGACCATTGGATTGTCCATTGTGTTGTCCATTGGGTTGTCCATTGGGTTGTCCATTGGGTTGACCATTGGGTTGTCCATTGGGTTGTCCATTGGGTTGACCATTGGGTTGTCCATTGAGTTGTCCATTGGGTTGTCCATTGGGTTGACCATTGGGTTGTCCATTGAGTTGACCATTGGGTTGTCCATTGGGTTGTCCATTGGGTTGACCGTTGGGTCGACCATCGATTTGTCCATTGGGTCAACCATTGATTTGTCCATTGGGTTGTCCATTGGGTCGACCATTGGGTTGACCATTGGGTTGTCCATTGAGTTGACCATTGGGTTGACCATTGGGTTTTCCATTGGGTCAACCATCGATTTGTCCATTGGGTTGTCCATCGATTTGTCCATTGGGTTGACCATTGGGTTGTTCATTGAGTTGTCCATTGTGTCGCCCATTGGGTTGACCATTGAGTTGTCCATTGATTTGTCCATTGGGTTGACCATCGAGTTGTCCATTGGGTTGACCATTGGGTCGACCATTGGGTTGACCATTGGGTTGTCCATTGAGTTGACCATTGGGTCAACCATCGATTTGTCCATTGGGTTGTCCATTGGGTTCTCCATTGGGTTGTCCATTGAGTTGACCATCGGGTTGTCCATTGGGTTGTCCATTGGGTCAACCATCGATTTTTCCATTGTGTTGACCATTGCGTTGTCCATTGGGTTGTCCATTGGTTTGACCATTGAGTTGTCCATTGGGTTGACCATTGGGTTGACCATTGGGTTGACCATCGATTTGTCCATTGAGTGGACCATCGGGTCAACCCTTGGGTTGACCATCGACTCACCAACCCCCTTCCACCCCCCTCAGATCTGCCTTCTGGAGTGCGAAGGCCGCGCCGTGCCGCGCGCCACATGGGAGCTCTGCGCCGCCTCCTCCCGCCCGGCGCCGCGCCCGCGCCGCATCCCCACCCCTGTCTGGCCACCGGGCGACACCTCACCATCCACCCACACCTCAGAAGACGACCTCCACGCCGATGAGGACATTTCCCGACGGCCGTCGGCGCCGCCGTCGTCGAAGGAAGTGCAGAAACGCTACGGCGGCTTCATCGGCGTCCGCAAGTCGGCGCGGAAGTGGAACAACCAGAAGAGGTTCAGCCAGTTCCTGCGGCAGTACCTCGGCATGGCGCCGCGCTCCAGTGAGTACGGCGGCCGCCACGGTGACGCCGATGACATCTGAGCGGCGTCCCCGAGGTGACGTCACCGCCGTCGTTGTCCCGCGGGCGCCGACGCCGAGAGAAAGAGTTCGGAGAGAAAAATAAAGCACGGCGCGGAAATGGCGGCGCCGGGAGAGGGAGGGACGGCACCGGGATGGTGGTGGGCAGATCTGGGGCACCTTCGGGGGCATCTTTGGGGGCATCTTTGGGGTCACCTTCATGGTCGCCTTCGGGGTCACCTTCAAAGTTGCCTTTGGGGTCACCTTCGTGGTCACCTTTGGGGCATCTTCGGGGGCAAACTTGTGGTCACCTTTCAGGTCACCTTTGGGGGCATCTTTGAGGGCACCTTTGGGGGCATCTTTGGAGTCATCTTTGAGGTCACCCTTGGAGTCACCTTGGGGACACCTTCAGGGTCACCCTTGGGGTCACCCCAGGGGTCAGCTTTGGGGTAACTCTCATGGTCACCCCTGGGGGCACCTTTGAGGGCATCTTTGGGGTCACCCTTGGGGTCACCTTTGGGGTCACCCTTGTGGTCACCTTTGGGGTCACCTTTGAGGGCATCTTTGGGGGCATCTTTGGGGGCACCTTCAGGGAGAACCCTGTGGTCACCTTTGGGGGCATCTTTGGGGTCACCTTTGATGGCATCTTTGGTGTCACCCTCATGGTCACCCCAGGGATCACCCTTGTGGTCACCTGTGAAGTCATCCTTGGTGTCACCCTCATGGTCACCCTTGGGGGCACCTTTGGGGGCATCTTTGAGGTCACCTTTGAAGTCACCTTTAAGGTCACCTTTGGGGGCATCTTTGAGGTCACCTTTGGGGTCACCTTTGGGGTCATCTTTGAGGGCATCTTTGGGGTCACCTTTGGGGTCACCTTTGGGGGCATCTTTGAAGTCACCTTTGAAGTCACCTTTGAGGTCACCTTTGGGGGCATCTTTGATGGCATTTTTGGGGTCATCCTCATGGTCACCTTTGGGGTCACCTTCAAAGTTGCCTTTGGGGTCACCTTCGTGGTCACCTTCGGGGACAACCCTGTGGTCACCTTTGATGGCATCTTTGGGGTCACCCTTGGGGTCACCCCAGGGATCAACTTAGGGGTCACCTTTGGGGGCATCTTTGGGGGCATCTCTGGGGGCAACATTGAGTCACCTTCGTGGTCACCTTTGGGGGCATCTTTGGTGTCACCCTTGGAGTCACCCTTGTGGTCACCCTTGTGGGCACCTTCAGGGTCACCTTTGGGGACACTTTGGGGCTGTCTTTGGGGTCACCCTTGGGGTCACCTTCAAAGTTGCCTTTGGGGTCACCCTTATGGTCATCTTTGGGGTCACCTTTGAGGGCAACTTTGGGGTCACCTTTGATGGCATCTTTGGTGTCACCCTCATGGTCACTCTTGGGGTCACCTTTGGGGGCAACTTTGGGGTCACCCTTGGGGTCACCTGTGAGGTCACCTGCGGGGTCACCCTCATGGTCACCCATGTGGTCACCTTCAGGGTCACCTTTGGGGTCACCTTTGGGGTCACTCTCATGGTCACCTTTGGGGTCACCCTTGGGGTCACCCTCATGGTCGCCCACATGGTCACCCTTGGGGTCACCTCCAAAGTTGCCTTTGGGGTCACCTTCGTGGTCACCCCTGGGGTCACCTTTGGGGGCATCTTTGAGGTCACCTGTGAGGTCACCCTCATGGTTACCCTTGTGAGCACCTTCAGGGTCACCTTTAGGGGCACTTTGGGGTTGTCCTTGGGGTCACCCTTGGGGTCACCCTTGGGGTCACCTTCAAAGTTGCCTTTGGGGTCACCCTTACGGTCAGCTTTGGGGTCACCCTTGTGGTCGCCCTTGTGGTCACTTTTTGGGGTCACCTTGGGGGCACCTTCAAGGTCACCCTTGGGGTCACCTGTGAAGTCACCCTTGGGGTCACCCTCATGGTCACCCTTGTGGGCATCTTTGGGGGTAGCTTTGATGGCATCTTTGGGGTCACCTTTGAAGTCACCTTTGAGGTCACCTTTGGGGGCATCTTTGGGGACACCTTTGAGGTCACCTTTGGGGTCACTCTCATGGTCACCTTTGAGGTCACCTTTGGGGGCATCTTTGGGGGCACCTTTGAGGTCACCTTTGATGGCATCTTTGGGGTCACCTTCATGGTCGCCTTTGGGGTCACCTTCAAAGTTGCCTTTGGGGTCACCTTCGTGGTCACCTTTGGGGCATCTTCAGGGACAAACTTGTGGTCACCTTTGGGGTCACCTTTGAGGGCACCTTTGGGGTCACCCTTGTGGACACCTTTGGGGTCAACTTTTAGGGTCACCTTTGGGGTCACCTTCAAGGTCACCCTCGTGGTCACCTTTGGGTCACTTTGGTGCCACCTTTGGGTCACTTTGGTGCCACCTTTGGGTCACTTTGGTGCCACCTTTGGGTCACTTTGGGTCACTTTGGGGTCACCTTTGGGTCACTTTGGTGCCACCTTTGGGTCACTTTGGGGCCACTTTGGTGCCACCTTTGGGTCACTTTGGTGCCACCTTTGGGTCACTTTGGGTCACTTTGGGGTCACCTTTGGGCCTCTTTGGTGTCACCTTTGGGGTCACTTTGGTGTCACCTTTGGGTCACTTTGGTGCCACCTTTGGGTCACTTTGGTACCACCTTTGGGTCACTTTTGGGTCACTTTGGTGTCACTTTCGTGTCACTTTGGTGCCACCTTTGGGTCACTTTTTTGTCACCTTTGGGTCACTTTGGTGTCACCTTTGGGTCACTTTTGGGTCACTTTGGTGCCACCTTTGGGTCACTTTTTTGGTCACTTTGGTGCCACCTTTGGGTCACTTTTGGGTCCTCTTTTGGTCACTTTCGGGTCACCTTTTGGTCACTTTGGTGTCACCTTTGGGTCACTTTTGGTGTCACTTTGGTGCCACCCTTGGTCACTTCCGGGTCACTTTGGTGTCACCTTTGGGTCACTTCGGTGTCACCTTTGGGGTCACTTTTGTGTCACTTTGGTGTCACCTTTGGGTCACTTTGGTGTCACTTTGGGTCACCTTTGGGTCACTTTGGTGTCACTTTGGGTCACCTTTGGGTCACTTTGGTGTCACTTTGGTGTCACCTTTGGGTCACTTTGGTGCCACCTTTGGGTCACTTTGGTGTCACTTTGGGTCACCTTTGGGTCACTTTGGTGTCACTTTGGGTCACCTTTGGGTCACTTTGGTGTCACTTTGGTGCCACCTTTGGTGTCACCTTTGGGTCACTTTGGTGTCACTTTTGGGGTCACTTTGGGGTCACTTTTGTGTCACCTTTGGGTCACTTTGGTGCCACCCTTTGGTCACTTTGGTGCCACCTTTGGGTCACTTTGGTGTCACTTTGGGTCACCTTTGGGTCACTTTGGTGTCACTTTGGGTCACCTTTGGGTCACTTTGGTGTCACTTTGGTGCCACCTTTGGTGTCACCTTTGGGTCACTTTGGTGTCACTTTTGGGGTCACTTTGGGGTCACTTTTGTGTCACCTTTGGGTCACTTTGGTGCCACCCTTTGGTCACTTTGGTGCCACCTTTGGGTCACTTTGGTGTCACTTTGGGTCACTTTGGTGTCACTTTGGTGTCACCTTTGGGTCACTTTGGTGTCACCTTTGTGTCACCTTTTGGTCACTTTGGTGTCACCTTTGGGTCACTTTGGTGCCACCTTTGGGTCACTTTGGTGCCACCTTTGGGTCACTTTGGGGTCACTTTGGTGCCACCTTTGGGTCACTTTGGGGTCACTTTGGTGCCACCTTTGGGTCACTTTGGTGTCACCTTTGGGTCACTTTGGTGCCACCTTTGTGTCACCTTTGGGCCACTTTGGTGTCACCTTTGGGTCACTTTGGGGTCACCTTTGGGTCACTTTGGTGTCACCTTTGGGTCACCTTTGTGTCACTTTCGTGTCACTTTGGTGTCACCTTTGGGTCACTTTGGGGTCACTTTTTGGTGCCACCTTTGGGGTCACCTTTTGGTCACTTTTGTGTCACTTTTGTGTCACCTTTGGGTCACTTTGGTGTCACCTTTTGTGTCACCTTTGGGTCACTTTGGTGTCACCTTTGGTGTCACCTGTGGGTCACTTTGGTGTCACCTGTGGGTCACTTTGGTGTCACCTTTGGGTCACTTTGGGGTCACCTTTGGGTCACTTTGGGGTCACTTTGGTGCCACCTTTGGGTCACTTTGGTGCCACCTTTGGGTCACTTTGGGGTCACTTTGGGTCACCTTTGTGTCACCTTTGGGTCACTTTGGTGTCACCTTTGGGTCACTTTGGTGCCACCTTTGGGTCACTTTGGTGTCACTTTGGGTCACCTTTGGGTCACTTTGGTGTCACTTTGGGTCACCTTTGGGTCACTTTGGTGTCACTTTGGTGCCACCTTTGGTGTCACCTTTGGGTCACTTTGGTGTCACTTTTGGGGTCACTTTGGGGTCACTTTTGTGTCACCTTTGGGTCACTTTGGTGCCACCCTTTGGTCACTTTGGTGCCACCTTTGGGTCACTTTGGTGTCACTTTGGGTCACCTTTGGGTCACTTTGGTGTCACTTTGGGTCACCTTTGGGTCACTTTGGTGTCACTTTGGTGCCACCTTTGGTGTCACCTTTGGGTCACTTTGGTGTCACTTTTGGGGTCACTTTGGGGTCACTTTTGTGTCACCTTTGGGTCACTTTGGTGCCACCTTTGGGTCACTTTGGTGCCACCTTTGGGTCACCTTTGGGTCACTTTGGGGTCACTTTGGTGTCACCTTTGGGTCACTTTGGTGTCACCTTTGTGTCACCTTTTGGTCACTTTGGTGTCACCTTTGGGTCACTTTGGTGCCACCTTTGGGTCACTTTGGTGCCACCTTTGGGTCACTTTGGGGTCACTTTGGTGCCACCTTTGGGTCACTTCCGGGTCACTTTTGTGCCACCTTTGGGTCACTTTGGTGTCACCTTTGGGTCACTTTGGTGCCACTTTGGTGTCACCTTTGGGTCACTTTGGTGTCACCTTTGGGTCACTTTGGGGTCACCTTTGGGTCACTTTGGTGTCACCTTTGGGTCACCTTTGTGTCACTTTCGT